GCGCTGGCAATGGTCTGTTGGTGTGTGCGGGGTCCTTGCAGGGGGCAAGGCAGACTCCAGGCCGGTGCTGGCAGGGGAGTTACAGCCCTTACGGTCCCTGGGAGGCCTGGCAGTGCCTCTGAACAGTGGTCAAGTTCTCCTTCTCTGTCCCAGGCTTTCCAGGGCCAGCAGCATTGCCAGAACACCTGTGACAGGTGGTGAGGGAGTGAGGGCTCAGAACTGGGAGCTCTCCTGGGTTGTCTTTCCAAAACCAAGTGTGTCCTTTTTGTGCAGGTGCGGCCCTGTGAGCCCGTGTGGGTGGCTCAGCCTTGTAACACCATTTCCAGCCTCTGCTAAATGCAGCTGTTCATTGACCACTTCAGTGTTTTCCTGTCCCCCTTCCAGCCAAACTCCACCTCTTTGGCACCACTCACCACTCAGAAAACCTCAGCCAGCAGAAAAAAGATTGCTTCCTCGTTTGCACAATAAAAAGAAAGTCACACTTCCCTGCTTGGGGGGCACGGGGACCTGCCTGGAGCGAGTTTTTGGGGGCAGGTTTATAAAGGAGATACTTGAGGCAGAAACTTGGTAGAGTGTATAAGGGAGGTGATGGGGTGAGCCTTGTTCTAGAGCAGTCACCTTGTTCTAGAGTGTCACGGCACTGAGGACCCGCCAACCCCTCTGTGTTCCCTGTGCCCTCCCTGGAATGTTTTCTTCTGCAGCCTTTGGTTCTTCCTTATCATAAATCCTGTGGGATTTAAGTTCAAGCTGCTGATCCTTTGGACAGTAATGGGTCTTTAACTAACGAGACATACAATTGCAAATGTAAATTCCTCTCCCTTGGGGAATCAGAAAGCAGGTTTGGGATGCAGGCTGTGAAGTGCAGGAGTTCACTGAACCACAAAGGAGGCCTGATTGGCACTGATCCTGCCCCTCAGCCACAGGAATGGGTACATGCTTCCCACGTGGTGCTCAGTGAAGAGGATGCCGGGGGAGGAGGAGGCTTGAGGTCACCTCCGTCCTGACCTGAGTGAGCAGATGCCAGTGGCAAGTTGTTGGCATGAGAGCTCTGTATCCTGCGGCCTCTCCGCCTCGTGCCTGGCCCCAGACTACGGACATTTAGGGAGAATAGTGATGCCAGCTCGCGTCTCGCACCCCAACCTGGGCCCTGCACAGTCCTTGCCCCCCGCTCCATGTCTCGGTGTCCCCCTCAGTGCTCCTGGGCCCTGCACACTCCATTCCCCCGCTCAGTGCCCCTGGGCCCTGCACACTGCTTGCCCCCCGCTCCGTGTCCCGGTGTCCCGCTCAGTGCCCCTGGGCCCTGCGAACACTCCATTCCCCCGCTCCGTGTCCCGGTGTCCGCTCAAGTGCCCGAGCAGGCCCTTGCCACACTCCATTTCCCGCTCGCGTGTTCCCGGTGCCCGCTCAGTGCCCGAGCCAGGCCCGCACACTCCTTGTCCCCCTCAGTGCCCGAGCAGGCCCTGCACACCCTTGTCCCCCCCAGAAAAATGCCCGAGCAGGCCCTGCACACTCCCTGTCCCCCCTCAGTGCCCGAGCAGCCCCGCCACACTCCAGTTTCCCCGCTCCGATGATCCCCGGTGTCCCGCTCAGTGCCCCTGGGCCCTGCACACTCCATTCCCCCGCTCCGTGTCCCGGTGTCCCGCTCAGTGCCCGAGCAGGCCCCGCACACTCCTTGTCCCCCCTCAGTGCCCGAGCAGGCCCTGCACACTCCATTTCCCCGCTCCATGTCCCGGTGTCCCCCTCCGAGCAGGCCCTGCACACTCCATTTCCCCGCTCCATGTCCCGGTGTCCCCCTCAGTGCCCGAGCAGCCCCGCGCACACTTCCTTGCCCCCCTCCAGTGCCCCCGTGGCCGCCGCACACTCCTGTCCCCCCCTCAGCGCCGCCGTGCCGTCCCGCCGCCGGCGGGGGAACCGCCAGGCGCCCGCCCGCCCCGCCGGCCGGCGCCGCGCACGCGCGGTGCGGGCAGCGCGGGCCGCGGGCGGACCGGCGGTGCCGGCTGCCCTGCGTCCGGTGCAGAAGCCCCAGCCCAAACCCCAGCGAGCCCCGAGCGGCACCGCGGCCGGGCCGGGCCCGGGGCACTGCGGGGCACCGCGTCGGGCACGCCGGGGCATTGCTGACGCGCCGCGCAGCCTGCGAGCGCCAGCCCGCCCGCACGCAGGCGATCGGCCCGCCCCGCGGGAAGGAAAAAAAGAGAGCGCCCGCCCGGGCTGTGAGTGCCGCGTGGCCGCGGACAGGGGCGGTGGGGTGGGCGCGTGCGGTGCGGGCGCTTCGGCGGTTCGCGGCGCGTTGCGGGCCCACCCCCCCCCCACCCCCAGGGCTCGGGCCGGGGGCCTGCGGAACGCACCGGGGCGACGCGTGCGGAACGCGCGGAAGGGGAGCGCGGGGTGTGCGGGCCTCGGCTTCGCTTCCTCGCCTCCTCCCGCCGCGCCCCGCGGGCCCGGGGCTGCGACCGCGGGACGCGGCGGGCAAGCGCCTGGCCGGGAACGGCTGCACTGGCAAACAGCGCGGGACGTTTCGCGGCGGTCGGTAGGTACGGCCAAGCTCCTGCGCCGTGCCCGTGTGCTGTGTTTTCGCTTTTTAAACGAGAAGGCTTGTTCGCAGAGGCAGCGTTTAGGTTGGATTATCGGGACAGCTTGTCCCCATTCGGGCACTGCCCAGGCTCCCCAGGGCAGTGGGCACGGCTGACGGAGCTCCAGGAGCGTTGGGACAACGCTCCCAGGGACAGGGTGCGATTGTTGGCGTGTTCTGGGCAGGGCCAGGAGCTGGATCCATGGTCCTGATGGGTCCCTTCCAGCTCAGGATATTCTGCAGTTCTTTGAACTGTTTCTCAAAATATATTTAACTAAATTAGTATTTTACATTAAAATAATAAATTAGTAATATATAGTATTATGTATATAATACATAATATAACTTACAATAATATAGTGTAATATATTATGTGTAATACAGTAACTATAATGTTAAATAATCTATTATTTATTATAAATTTAAAATTATTAATAAAAAACAAACCTGCGTTACATTATTATTTATTATATATTACATAATGATATATACCAGAATAAAATAATTTGAATAAATTAAATAGGCCTTTAAAATAGGCTTTTTTTTTTTTTTTCAGTTTTCAGTGGGTTAGATTGAAATAGTCTCCCAGGGATCAAGCAAGGCATGGTAGGACCTCAGCTTTCAGGGCTATGTGGCTCAGGGCATTTAAATATGTATACACAAGCCAGTGTGTACTCCCTGTACTTCCAGAAGCTCCTAATAACCTGACCTTATTTGCGAAGTGTGTCAGACCAAAATTCAGGACATGGAGGTGTGATCTTCAAGGCTGCCGTGCCACTGGATTTACTGTTCCAAACCATTTCACTCTCTAAACAAGATGTTCTGTAATTATTTATTGTTATTGTTTTGGGCTCTGAAATTCAACCATTTATGGGTTTGTTTTTTTTTTTTTTTTGGCAGATCTTAATCACAAACCCAAGGGAGTTTTTTGAAGAGTTTTAATTTCTGTGCTTGCTAAATTGCCACAAAACTACATATTTCCTATGAAAAGTTTTCATATTTAGTGTTGGAAGATACAATCATAATTAGTAAAAAGCTGCTTTTTCGTGTAAAACTCGAGTAGTGTGATTGCTTGCCAGGCCTTTCAGCTAGAAAGCAGCATAGCTGGATCCAGTCTTTGGTTTTGTACACAGCTGATAAACTGTCCTACTGTTTCAGACGTTTCCTTCTCCAGGGCTGGTTTTCCCTTCCATCGCAGAGATAACCAGCAAAATGATGATTGGCTGCTTACAGTGTTTGCTCTAAAATCCATGATATGCCTTATGTAGCCTTTGGAGGAAAAATAGCCTGATCTATTGGTAATTTTTTTATTTTCAATTTTAAAATTAATAATGGTCTTCCAGTCCTGTTTTTTAAAGGAGAGCATTGTCCTCAGCCTTAGCCAAGCTTTCTGCCCAACTGCTTCAGTGGGTCCTCATCAGTATTTATTTTAGGTGTTGTAAAGGAACTTTTCTTGCTCACATGGGTATCCTGAGAAGGCAGGGAGTGGAACATGGAATGTTCTGCTGATTGTTGTTGCCACAACACTTGGTTTTCCACTGTTGTTCCACTTTTGACCTGCTTCTGTATCAACTCTGATTCCCTTTTTTTGTTCTAAGAACACGAATTGAAGATCACTGTTGCTTAGAATTTAATTATTAAAGAATCATTCTATGATTCTTTCCCCCCCCACGTAGGTGTGCAAACATGGCCAAGAGAATTGCAGAGAAGGAACTGACTGACCGAAACTGGGATCAGGAGGAAGAAGCTGAGGAGGTAAGTTAAGCATCAGTTCCCTCCACCACCCCTGCAGGTAGCAGAATAGTTATTGACATGTGCTGTTCATTTTGTGGGTAAAACCTACAGCAAAACTGGTTAAAAGCATAGCGATTGAAGGGAATTTTATACAAGCGAATTTTATAAAATTGCTTTTTATAAAGCCTCCAATGTATGCAGACCCCAGGGCAAAGCAGCTTCTAAGACTTCAAATGACATCAGTAGCTCAGGGGAAAGGAACTTTACATTTCTAGGGGGAACCCCAGGCTTGTTAAAATGCTTTTGGACTCTTCAGATGTGTGAGAGGTATTTACTGAATTCACAGGAAAAGCGGATTTGGTTTCTTGAGATAAATTTTCTTTATGTCTTGTGTGGGTTTTTTTAAGGGCCAATAATAGTAAATTTCAGAACTGTGTTAATTTTAGCTTAATGTCCCCACACAGCCAGAGGAATTAGGCAAAGAGTCAAATGTTATGTTTCATCTGATGGTAAAAAGAGATTTTAATGTTTAGTGTCTCATACTTATGGCCCGTGTTTATCTCTGACCAAACTGTGCTTGCTTCTGTCCTACTGGAAGTATTAAATGTTTAGACCTGTAAATGTAAGAAATAAAACTGACTCTTCCAGGAGTTTGAATATAAGAAGACTTTATTTCCTCACTTATTACAGGGTAGTAATGAGCCATTAGCTGCCTTTGCTAATGTTTGAAGTACCAGTTCCAGGTATCAAGTAATGTCCAGGTCCTCGGCAAGTTAATCACTACCGTGTTTTTGGGGTGGTTGTGGTTTAATTCCTCCCCTTGTTTGTTAGGGGGCAGGGTTAGAGTCGTGTTCAGAAACCACTGTGCATTTTGAGAATTCCACTGATGATTCCCTGGCTTGCTCCTGCAGGTGGGAACGTTCTCGGTGGCCAGTGAGGAGGTGCTGAAGAACAGAGCCATTAAAAAGGCAAAGCGCCGGAACGTCGGCTCGGAGGTAACGTGGGCACTGGCCACGAGTGCTGGGGACGGGCTCAGCTGCAGCATGTGGCACCAGGCTCAGCTTTCACTTCCCTGGGCTTGTGGTGATGCTGCACTGAGTTGTCATTTCACTCACCAGCTCACATGTGCAGATGGGTTTTGGCTTATTGTTCCATGGCAAGGAAAAGGTGAGAAATGGTTAATTAGTACCACAAGTATTGACTGGGTGAAGAGAGTATTTGTGAAGCAAAAATGAAGAGTGTTTCAGACACAGTGTCCTCTGCAGATGGGTAAAACAGCACTGGAACTTCTCTACTTCCATTCTTTGCAGAGATGGAAGTCTGGCAATGGAAAGTTCCTAGTTATCCATAGGAGGGCTGAGGGATGTCTCAGAGGCTAAATTAGTAAAAGCCAAAATATTAAACTGTTCTGAGGATGAAAACTTATCTTTTGTCAAGAATGCTACTACTTTTTTGCCTCCCTTTGAAGAGCTTTAGTGCCACCTACTCTTTGCAGTAACAAATGGAAAATTGAAAGGAGGCTGGCCTTTGTTACAGGTTTAGTCCCTGTGAAAGCATTAACCCAGTCCAGCCAAAGTGTTGTCCTTTCAGAAATCCCTGGCAAATGCTTTGTTGTGGTTTTTGCTACCAGCCAGCCTTTGAACAGGGCGTGCACCCTGTTAGGAATAGGGCAGGAACTGTGCCTGTTGCTCAGATTTGGATGGAATGGGACCAGGCACAGTTAGGAGCTACACAGTTCCTCCTGTGCTTTTGTTTTACCTCCTGCAGTCCAGGCCATGTAAATGAGGAAGGTGACTTAGCCCACTGCTGCCTTGAGTAGTTTTAGCCACAAATGTGTTCATTAAAGGGTTGTACTGGGGAAAGGTGATGCAAGAGCTGAGCAGGAGAGATTTGGGGCAGATAGAATAGGAGAAACAGAACTGATTGAGAAGGGGGACCAGGTGGCTGTAGAAGAAATAGTCAGGAGGCTGGGAGCAGGCTGCTAGAACTGGGAGAAGGGCTAGTACAGGGATCAGGTTTAACCCCAGCAGAGCACGAGACACTGAGAACTCCTTGAGTGCAGTGAGCCCTGCTCAGCACCAACCAGAACAACTCTCTTCTCAACATTCTTCTCATCCTGAATCCAGACCACAGCACTGTACCAGCTGCTAGGGAGAAAATTAACTCTATCCCAGCCAAACCCAGGACAATAGGTTGGACAAAGTCTGAAAAGTAGAAGATGACAGGACAGCTGAGGTTGCATAAGAAACCTGTGAAATATTTACAAAAAGGTAAACTTGAATTTTACTGACATTCCTACATGGAGCAAGCACAATGCTGTAATGAAGGAGACTGCACTTAACTGGAATGTCCAGAGAGAGAGGTGGAACTGATCAGAGAGAGACAATAAAAATTGCTACCTAGGAATGACAAACAGGACTGCACTGGAAAAGGTAAAGCACAAAGGGAAGCAGAAGCAGCCCACAAGGTCAGAATGGAATACAACCTAAAATTTGTAAGCTTTGCCATTTCTTCAGTGGTAAAAGCAGATGAAACTCAGAAGCAGTTCTCCTCCCCTTGATGGTTTTCCAGAGACACTGGAAGCACACTTCCTACAGTAATATTTCATTACCTCAAAAGGCCTAAAAGTACCTAAAAGTGGTAGTGCCTATTTGTATGTTAATCACACTGCCCTTTAGAAACATGAGAAACTATGCCATAAAATAATGTGGTTGTAAAGACAGTGTTCAGAACTGGGTAATGAAAAGGCTGCAGAGACACACATTTTGTGATCGAGTACAGTCTGTCTTTGCTTCTCCCACTGGTCACACTGAAATATTTTGGGTAAATCACAAACATTTCGTAGGTGACTCCAAAATAGGCTGTTTTGGATGAGGGGCTTGAAGTGTTAGACTCTTAATTGCGGTTTTAAGTGCTAAGAGCTGCTGAAAATAAACCTGCAATTGTATATTGCTGTGTAATTATTTAAAGAAAACAACGTGCTACGAGTCTCTAAATAGGTAGTCAAACACATCCGCTGCTCTGAACAACTTCCATGTATCCACTTCCCAGTTCCAGATTATTTTCATACCAAACATCTGAGTCCTCCAAAAGCAGTAGCAGTGTGTCACAGGGAAGCTGTTCCCTGTGTTTGCATAGCTGACACAGTAATGCACGGAATGACACGCTGAAAATAAACCAGGGATATCAGGAATATTAAGTAGGGGTGGGATTTGTGTGGAGGAGATGTGTGTAACTGGTTGTCTCTCTTCTTTTCTCTCCCCAGTCTGAAAGTGGAGGAGCTTTTAAAGGGTTTAAAGGCTTTATATTGCCTTCTGGGAAAGGAGGAGGTGGCTTCGGCGGATTTGGGAATGGTGCAGGAATAAAGCCTTTGGAAGGGCTGTCTAATGGAAGCAGTACTGTCTCTAGCACTCCTTCTTTCAGCAGTTTGAAGACCACTCCTGAAACACAATCAGCATTTGGTAAGTTTTAAATAAGCATATCTGAACACATTCATCAATGAAGTCTGTATTTATTAGTGAAAAAACAAGTTCAGACCACCCTGTAGTTCTGTTTTAAGGTTTTGAGATTTCATTCCTCTTTGTGAGATTTCTTGAAAAGATTTTAGGCTGCTGGAGGGACAAGTTATCAAATGCATGCAGTCTTGAGTGGTGGGAACTAAATTTGCATTTGCTCTAATACTGGAGGTAGAAGTTTTATTAGCACAAATGGGAATGGAAGAAACTGGCCTAAGACACTCTTGGAATAGTATAAAGCAGCTGGTAACATGTTCCAGTTAAACAGTTGTCCCAGTTCTTTAAATTTAATTAAAAAAAAAAAAAAAGCTAATAGAAATTATCCATTTAGTAAGACTGCAGTTTCTTGATGTGTTGGGTTTTTTTTTTAAGGTCTTTTTTCTGTATATTTTGCCATTCTTGGTAAATATGTACTGCATAGCTGGAGTCAACCTCTTTTCCCCTGTACACCTGACATGGCAGACAGTCTTTCTAGAACTGTATCTGTTACATTCATACCTACATTTTAAGGCACTTGGAATACTTTGGCAAGTCTAGCTCCCATGCTTTGGAAGTCCCTGAGTAATATTAGCTCTGCCCCTTTGTGCTGGGGATGGAGAAATGTGACCACTGCCACAGGATTTTGGAGGCCATGTGCTAGAATACAGGTGGTGGAGTTTTGAGCTTTGGAGTAACTTAGATTTCAGTGAGCTTGACTAAATTAGGGGAAACTGAAATACTCAGTGAGGATTTTCTTAGTTTACTGCCTATGTTTTTTATATGGAAACCAATTTTGCAAAGCATGCAAAATTGTGGGCTAGTGCACTCAGGGTGTTTTAAAGTGTAATTAGCAAGACCTAACTTGACTATTTTGACTTAGTAAGTGTTACAGCGTTATAAAGCTGTAAAAACCTTGTGAAATTTTTGGCAAAATACAAAACTTGTACTTTTTAATGTTCTGTACAAGATTTCTTTTTTTTTATTCACTAGCATTCTCCATCTACTTTGTCCCTGAACAAAGTAACCTTTCTAAATTTAAAACGTGGGTCTGTCTCACAGCACGGTGTGCTCACTGGTACAGCAGTACCGGTGGCAAGGTCAGGTTGGATCTCAGGGAAAGGTTCTCCCACCCCAGAGGGTGGTTGGCACTGCCCAGGCTCCCCAGGGCAGTGGGCACAGCCCCAAGGCTGCCAGAGCTCCAGGAGGGTTGGGATGATCCTCTCAGGGACAGGGTGTGACCCTTGGGGATGGTCCTGCACAGGGCTAAGGGTTGGACTTGAAGATCCGTGTGGGTCCCTTCCAACTGGGCATATCCTGTGGCCCAGAAGGAGCATAACTGAGCAGGGATGAGTGACTTGGCAAGAAATACTGGGAACACTGGTTGGGCTTTTCAGAGAACTCCGCTTTCTGGGGGAAGACAACGTTCTTAGCCACGTTCCTGTTGTGCCAGGGTCGCCCGTGTCCAACGGCCCCGGTGCCGCAGCGTTTGAGACCAAGGCGGGCGGGGGCAGGCAGGGCTCCTACCACAAGCAGCTGGCCGCCCTCAACTGCTCCGTGCGCGACTGGATCGCGAAGCACGTGAACTCCAACCCGCTGTGCGACCTGACCCCCATCTTCAGGGACTACGAGCGCTACCTGGCCAGCATCGAGCAGCAGCACGGCAGCGACAGCGGCTCCGAGGGCGAGCCCGCCGGCACCCCCGGCGCCAGGGCCGCCCCCGCCTTCGGGGGCACGAAGCTCCAGGGCTCGGCATTCCTGTTCAACAGCGGCAAGGCCGAGGAGGCGCCGGCGGACAGAACGGCCGAGGCCGCGCCCGAGAAGAAGGAGCCGTCCTTGGGAACCGCCTCTGCCGTCTCGTTTAACTTCGGCAAGAGCGCCGACAGCCCTGCTCTGGGCTCCCTGGGCTCAGGAACACTCAGCAGTTTCTCCTTTTCTCCCGGGAATTCGGGATTGTTTGGAAAAGACGCAAACCAGGCCAAGTCTGTCATTGCAGCGCCCACCAGTTTGCTGGAAGCTCAGGCAGAAAGCAGCAATGCCGATGAGAAAGGTAAATTCTTTTTATTGCTGTTTGTAGTTTCTTTAGTGGTAAGCTGTGAGTGTGTGCCACTTAAGGATACTGCAAAGGTGCAGCAATAGTAAATTGAACAAGATCGTGGCATGGAGCTGTGTCAGGGCAGGGTCAGGTTGGATCTCAGGGAAAGGTTCTTCCCCCAGAGGGTGGTTGGGCACTGCCCAGGCTCCCCAGGGCAGTGGGCACAGCCCCAAGGCTGCCAGAGCTCCAGGAGGGTTTGGACAACGTTCCCAGGGACAGGGTGGGATTGTTGGGGTGTCTGTGCAGGGCCAGGAGCCTGACTTCATCCTTGTGGGTCACTCCAACTCAGGCATTGTATATTCTATGATTCTGTGATCAGAATTGTTCTGGAATTTGAAGTGCAGACCCACACCAGTAATCTGCAAATCCCAGCCATGCACACAGTTTAAGCGACGCCAAAAGTTTGTGCTTATCAAAACCTCTGTATTTCTGTCAGATTTACACTTTCTGTAATAGAATATAATCCTTTACCTGGAGACAGGACTTGAAAAGGTGACATTTAAAGCAGCTGGTATGTTCTCCTTTGAGTCTGCAGGACATTTCGATCCCTCTGCTTTTCCCAGTAGCTTTATGGTAAAATGCATGAGATACAGAACAACTGAGTCCATTTTATTTAACAGACTGTAAGGCCACCAAAGTTACATGGTACCTGACAGCTTTGCTCTGCCTACACTGGGTACAGTGAGCTGATGGAATTCCTAGGAGCTGAGGGATTGGAAAGGCATAATCTGCCACTATCTCTTGGCTGTCATTCCCACAGTGACTTCCCTTCCCCCAAGTTAAACCTGGCTGTTGGAAGTTTTTATTGTGCTTTACTTGAATTTGTGGAGCATGTTCTTTGAAATGCGAAAACTGCTTTGTGTCAAACCCGAAGGTTTTGACTAATTAAGCTTTGTATTTTTAGGGTTTGATTGTCTGGTAGGGGTTGGGTATTTTCACCCCACTTAAACTGAAGATGAGGATGGAGTTGTTTGAGGGGCTGAAGGAAAAGCAAGTAACACTTCTTTTTCTGTAGCTGAAGCTGCTGCAGAGCCCAGAGGGACTGAAATGTGTTCTGGCCACACGTGTCCATGTCAAACATGGCATGCACAAGGGAACTCTAAGTGCCAAAAACACCCTGCAGGCTCTGTGCTCACAACATTAACATATTCAAACTTTCTGTTTGAAGGAGGAGAAGAGGAGGAAGAAGAGCCACCAAAAGTCGTTGTTAATGAAATAAAAGAGGATGATGCTTTCTACTCAAAGAAGTAAGTGACTCTGACTTGGAAAACAAAATTGATACCTGCATATTGCTATTCTTCACTGCAGTGCATGATTAAGGACATGTTCTTTACTTTCTAATTGATAAAGCTTGTTGGGAATCCATATAGAGTATGAACTTGTAAAAAAGTTAATTACAGGCAAGAATTTGCAATGCCTTACTAAAATTCTTCTGTATCTTGGACGCAACAGTAATAGTTTGTGTTCTGGTTGTGATCTGTTTTTTACAAGTGAAGATGTTCTTGCCTTTGTCAGGTTTTGTGAGTTTAAACTGCAGGGCTACCACAAAAATTTCATGCTGTGCTGCTGGAAAATCCACCAGCTGCTCAGTTATTTGCACAGCCTAAAATAAGACTCTTCAGCTGGAAAATGCTGATTGTTGTGTGAAGGAGTGAACAAGCTGTGCTTTTAAGCTCAAAATGAGACCAGCTGTACTAGAGGCAGTTTTTCAAGGCACATTCAGTAGTCCAAGTAATTGACACTCGGCACAGAATTTGTCCTGCTACCAAAAGCCATTAGTTTTATCTGAGAGAAGGTGTGTGCTAATTTATTAGGAATGGTTTATTAGGTTATTAGAACTTCACTTAAAAATGTTTATGAATTGTACATAAAAGTTCTCCCATAACTTCAGAACATTACAGCAAGTTCTTTGTAATTAGTGTTTTTTAAAGTAGCTTATACAGTTACTGCTCCTCATAGACCCTGAGTACAGGTTGCTCTGCACTTTACTTTTCCCTGAAAGCAGTACATTTGTCATTTCAGTACTGAAAGAAATGATTACCTTTCTCTTTGAACTGCAAGTTAGCCCATGAAACAAGGTCAAGAAGAATAAAGATTATTTTACATCACGTTAACTCCTGGTTATTGTTACTGTGAGTCAGATGGGTGCCTGTACTTGGTGTACTTGAGAGATATTGTTATGTCTTTAATCTCTACATGGCTGCACAAACAAGGGGTTTGAGTTTGTTTTATTTTTTCCCCCGCAGGTGCAAACTGTTTTACAAAAAGGATAATGAATTTAAAGAAAAAGGGGTAGGAACATTACATTTAAAACCAGCAGGAAATGAAAAAACTCAACTCCTAGTCCGAGCAGATACCAATTTAGGTAAGTAAAGTTCTTCCAGTAGCAAGTGTTGACGTGAAATTCCTTGCTAAGCATTAGGATATTTTTGTGGTTACACAGCATAACAGACAGAGTTAGTGAAAACCTTTCTGCTTTTTATTTTCTCTGAATAATTTCAAGTATTTGAACAAGCACTTGGATGCCTCTCCTGAGCATTACAGAAGAGAGCATGTGAAGCTGTGCAAGGAGTAAAAGGCTATGGTGTATGTTTGGGAATTCCTTCCCCCCACTTTTTTACAAGCTTTTCTCCATCCCTGGCTTCAGTGGCCTTCAAGCTTGGCTTAAGGTCCAGCTTCCCTAAAACTGAGTATCTGGTATGGTTGTCTAATCCCTGAGGACTAAAGCCAGGCTGCACTGAAGGGCAGGGTACATCTCAGCTCCCTTCTGCCTTCATCCACAGCGGGGTGTTAGGAAGTCTTTCCTTTTTCTCCAGCTCACACACTAAGACATTTGAGCTTGGGGAGTCCAAGCTTGGGGTTTCTAGAAGCTGCTGCAGTCATAGTGATGCACTTTCCTTTTTGCTGTCTTCACACAGTGCTGTATTCCTTTCCTAAAATCTCACTGTGTTGAAAAACTGAACTGGAAAGGGAGGCGAAGACTGACTTTTCCCTAATTCTGCTGCCATGTTCTGAGCTATTTCCCAGGTCTATAAATGTGTGTGTCTCCTGTGGAACCAGACTGGAGTTTGTTTGCTGCTGTTTAGTAGCCCACTAACCCTGGAGCTCTGGCACTCACTTCTCTCTTAACTCATGAAGTGGTTTAACAAGTTGCCACGGAGCTGTTGTCAGTAACCTGGCACAGACCACACCAGCTCTGTGGGAGGATTTGGGGATACAAAGTACTTCCTGCACCCTGGTTTGTCCCATTAACACCTCTGTCTGCATCAGAACTAACATTTTGTTTCTGCTTCTGAACTGCACCCAATGGTCAGAACTAAGCACTGGGACTGGATTCCACACTTGCTCCTTCTGCCTTTTCCCTCTGTGTCCCTGCTATCATATTCTTCAGGCTCCTCCCTCTAAAAAAAGAAGGGTGCAGTATTTTCAGAGATTTCCTCATTCCTGCTGAGGAAGGAAATCTGAGAACAAGGGCCCTGAGCAGATGCTCAGGGAAGAATAAGACAAACATACTTCGTGTTTGTGAGTTGCCTTCCTTCCAAACCCTCCTAAATCCCTGTTTAGTACCTGTACTAACACTGCATTGCAGTAAAAGCTGAACAGTGGCTAATGGTCATTTTTCCCCCCTCCTCACCCGCAGGGAACATACTGTTGAATGTCCTAATTCCACCTAAGATGCCATGCACAAGAACTGGGAAGAACAACGTTCTCATAGTTTGTGTCCCCAATCCACCGATCGACGAGAAGAACCCGACTGCTCCTGTCACCATGTTAATAAGGGTGAAAACAAGTGAGGATGCAGATGAGTTGCACAAAATCTTACTGGAGAAAAAGGAGGCTTAAAATAAGTTGCAGTCAGTGATTTGAGGAATTATTGCCAAACTGCTGCTGCTCTTTTTTCCTTCCCTAACTTCACTTGAACATTTAACTCTTTACTCTGATATTAAGAACTGTTATAGGAATTCTGGAAAAAATTATGTGAGGAAAAGCTAAACTAGCTAATAAAAGCTTTAATAGAACACAAGTGTTGGACTGTGCTCCCTCATTTTTCAGTGTCTAAATGCAGGACCTCTTCTGGATAAAGCACATGGATATAAATCCAGGCGTATGTTTTTAGCACCGCTCGACCAAATGGACTGAAATCCGAGCACAGAAACACGGTACCAGAGCTTCCTCACAGACTGATGCAATGCAACCACCTCCTGCTTTGAGAAGGGAGGATGTCCAAGTTTACCTGTTGAAACTGTTTGTAGACTCCAGTTTTTAATTTTGATTGGTCTGTTGTATTCTTTCTGGTGAGACTGGTTTCTGACTGGGTGACAACACTGCACCCCACCACAGATGATTTGTACTGTGCTGTGTCTGAACTCTTACAGACCCACGTGCTTTTGGGACTCAGAGACTGCAGATGGTGACAAGAAAATTTGCTTGTGTAGTCCTGTTGACAGTGGTGTTTTCTAGAGAAGAACTGTCACTTCTGTCCTTACTGTAGCAACAAGCTCATGATGTGCAATAGTAGAAGCAGACAACTGGAAGACAGTTTATCTGGGACCACACCAGCATCCCCTGGCTCCTGACACACCAGAGGCCAAGGGCTGCACTTCCACGATGGTCCTTCCAAGGTGTTTGTCCTCCCTCCTTGGGCCACGCCTGCAACCCGGCTGAGGCAGAGCTGTACGTGTTGTATTTGTCCTGCTGCTGGTACTTGCTGAGCAGAGCTCCTCCCACAGCCAAACTTCAGGGCTTTTGTAGACCTTTGTGTTGCCTCTGGCCTTTCCTTGCCCCTGTGCTGAAGCTGCAGTGCTGTGCTGCACAATGTGCAGCTTTAGGACAAGCTTTCTGTTGCACGTAGGGAGCGCTGGGTTAATCTACAACTTAGTTGTCAGCTGTGTTAAAGTTACCCATGTGGCAATAATTGATGGATCAGAACACTGATTCTGGTCTTGGTTTCCATCTCAGCATTATATCAGACTCTGCTGGTTTAATCCTTTTCTTTTGCAAATCTTGTTTGCTGGAAACTCCTTCCCTAGTAATTGTTTTTCTACTGCACTCCCAGCTCTGGGACCTCTCCGAGAGCTCGGGGTTCATGTTAAACTTGAAGTGCTCTCTTGGCTCAGCTCTGGAAGATGGAATGAACATGCCACCCTGCCTCTGGCTAATGTGACACACAGGAAAAACCCTGCCCTTCCTTAAAAAATTCCCACAGGCCATCTGGAAATCCACCCTACTGGCATCCTGTGGGCAGGGAAAAAGGAGGTGCAGCACATCTCACCTGTCCCCTCTGCTCTGGGGGGACAAAAGCTGCCTCTAGGCCTAATTTACTGCACAATTCAGGTTATGGCCTTTTTTCCCCTCTTAACTAAAAGGAGGAAAAACTTGATAGGATCTATAGCCCTCTTGACCAAAGTTCAGAAACAAAGGCCTTTGCTCACGTTTCAGCTATGCTTGGCTACAGGAACTGCATTTTTAACACTGAAGTGTAAGAGGAGATTTTAAGGTATTATTTGAAATATAAACTGGTGCCTTTGGGGGTTTCTTTCTGCATCTGGCTCAGTACTTAAACCGTAAAAAGTCAGTGACATTACTTTCCTCAAAATAAGATGCTTTTTAAAATAAAAAAAATATCTTGCTGCTGCCTGAATTGGAGGGTGTGTGTGCTCATTGTGCATGAATGAAAAGCAGAACATTACCTGCCACTTTAGTCCAGGCTCAGGTCTCGGGTCCAAGGGCTCAGTTAAATTTGCATTTGTCTTTTGAGTGTTGTCTTACCCTGTTCCTGCAGGCAGGTTGGTAGAGCAGAGCTCTGGCTGTGCATCCCCTGAGGAGCAGCTCTGTCCAGGTGTGCCCGTGGGCTCAGCCTTCTGTTTGTTTGCTTCCCAAAGCTCCTGGCTCTGGAACTGCTCCTTCATCCAGAGAAATGTGGACCAACAGGCTGACCTTGCCCTTCTCTCCTCGTGCTGTGCCTCTGCAGTGGGGCAGGCTGGGGTCCTGCATGTGGCCCAGCTCTGACAGTGCAGCTCTGCCCTGTCTCCAAGGGGGAGCACAGAGGGGAAGGGAAAATAAGTAGAATAATAATAAATGGTGTTGGAAAAAAATTAAACCTTACCATAGCCACGGTAGCAAGTCAGGTATTCTCCTAGCTGTGGGAAAGACTGAGATGAGACACCTGAATTCTTCAGTGTGTGCATTTATCAGCAAAGGCAGGGGAAGGTAAACAATTGGGATGTTGTATTCATTAGCGTGTCAAATATATGCACAAACATACAACTGTAAACATTTACATGGGGAAAGTTGCCCCTAAAAGAACAGGGAAGAATTTTACTGCAGATCAGACTTTAATCAACATCAGTTCCTGGTGACCCTGCCATTATCTGGATTACAGAGCAGGAAGTCACACACTTTTCCCTTGGTGCTCAGGTCTAGAGCACAGCCCTTCTGCAGCACTGTCAGAACAAAGACATTTTTGATGATGCTTCAGTTTCTAGTCGAGAAATATTGAAATACACAAATGCTGTAAAAGGTCAGAGATTCTGACATAGAAATAAAGGCCTAAAATGAGTTAAAAGCAAACGTTAGTGGAGAGCACAGACATCAACACACTAATGCCTTCATAACAAAGTGGCTCATGCTATCCAAGGGAGGAATTTTGATCAGAATTGCTACTCCAGGAGGCATTCCTGTATCTTGGGAGACATTTGATGTATTTAACAGCTGGATATCAGACACCTGATGTTTAAGATGCAAGTTCCTGCCCTCCTTTGCGTTAATGCCTTCACTGTCCGTAGGTGTTTGAGTGTCTTATGGATCATCCATTCCTCCTGCTACTCTGATTTTGGAGTTTCAGCTGCTTAGAAATCTTTCCTTTCCCTCCCACCTCCCCACCCAGAAGAATCAAGATCTCTGTTTTTTAATTCTCAGAATCATCGCCAAGGGAGGATTATTACACTTGGTTTGAATTTCATTTTAAAATATTAATTGCAACATGCAAGGATTTTTTTTTTTGTTTGTAATGTACTTAAAATTATCTATTTGGGAGCACGGCGGTGTGTTCCTGTAATCTTTTTTGGTTGATGGATGTAAAAGTTTAATTTAAATTTACAGTTCAAATGAACATGTTGTAGAACATAAACGAATCAGGAGGTTTGCTTTGCTGTTACAAACTGCAGTTCAGCTCCCTTTGCAGCACTGTAACATTTAAAATGTCCTTAAAGACTTTCTTTCTGATGCCTTAACTTATTTGCATTTGAGAAAATTTTGTAGCTGGTGCCTGTGTGCAGAAATTAACTGACATTAAACAACTGAAGTGGCATGAGCTAGTCTAAATCCAATGAAAATGCTGAATGTGATGATTTGTTAGTTGTTAATAGATTTCAAAATGCTCTGAAGTTTTCAGTGGATCCTTAAGTTTTACATAACTTGTCATGTACCAATGTTTTCATTAGTTCTGATACACTGAGGACGTGTACAAAAATCCATGGAAAATGTGAATAAATGAATGGGAGATTCATTTGTCTCGTGTCAATCACAGTCATTTTGAGTGCACAACACCATTAATAAAGTGAATTTTACAACCAGTTGCTTGCAGGTGAACTCCTGCCTGGAAAACCCTGCTGCTAAAAGAAGGAATGTCCTGCCCTGGCCCTTCCTCACTCAAACCTGGAGTTTGTTATTAGTAGAGAGCCTCATCTCTACCCAAACTGCTCAGGATGTTTTGAATAAAGAAACAGAAGCAGAATTTACATGGTTTGAAGTAGTCATCAATGTACTTACCCACGTTTCTGGTAGGTTTGTGTACTGCTCATTTTTTTAAGGCATTGTTTAGAAATTCTTATTTGCACCTGAGCATCCTGACCATAATGAGTTTGGTGGGTATTACTGTTAGGGACATCTTAACCTTTACTGAGGGGTGACACTGAAAAGAATCATGGCTGGAAGTCTGCAAAGGCTTTGAAGACAGGAACAGAAACGTCCTGTCTGGGCAGTACCACTGAGGAAAAAGTGTGACTTTGCTTTACTACCTTAGAGCACAGATGGCAATAACACAGTACAAAACCTTTCGTCTGAACTAGTTCTGGAGCTCCACCTGAGCTGGTGGGTGCTTGGGGCAATTCTGCTGACTGCAGTTCCAGGGAAAACTTGCAGGTGGTTTCTCCACTGTAAAAAGCAAATTCCTAACGCTGAAGAGAAAATGGTGGATTACATACCAAACTTAATTAATCTGGCAGTTCCTGAAATCTGTGTTTCCTTACCTTTACAGTGAGGTCAGAAATGACTCCTGTGACCAGCCACCTGTGCTGATCTCCTCCTGTGCTGGGCAGGGCACCATGGACATCCACAGCAGGGAGCACGGCATTCTGAATTCGTGCTGAGATGAGAGCCTGGATAATGACTCCTCCTGCTCCTTGATGCTACATCCATCACTGTCATTTTCCAAGGAAAACCCACTCTGACACTTGCAGTGATGAAAGAAGGTTCTGGCCACCCTCTTGTCCTTGGGGAGCAAAGCAAAGCCCCCACACTGGGTGCAGGCATAAGGCATTTGCTGCTTCCAGCAGGGTTTGGATGAACACAAGGGTTGCATCCGAATTAAAGGCTGAGTGCAGGACTTGGAAAAGTCTGTAGACTTGTAAACTGCTCCTGCTGAATCTCCCCAGCAGGAAAAGCAGAACCACAAACATAAGCACACTTCAGTGTCCAGGGGAGCTGGGAGGGGACAGAGCAGGGGTGAGTCAGCACATGCTGCAATGCTCAGAACACACAATTTCAGGCAGCGCAGGGATAAAGGGTGAGCTCGTTTTTGTGCCACTGCACAAACCCTCACTGAAGTTCTTCCTGAACTAATCAGGAAGAAACCATTACAGCCATCAGTCCTCACTACCATGCACTGCAAAAACTTAAATGTTAATGACTGTAATTAAACATGGATCAATTTAAAAGGGTTGTTCTAAAGGCAAAAAGCTTTTCCAAACAAATTCAGGACCACACTGACTCTTACCTTCTCCCTTACCCAATGCCAAGTTGTCA